AGGCAACGGCCGCTTGCCTTCACCGGACCTGTTCATGAATTCTACTGAGAGCATTCGCTGCACAACAGAGTAAAGTCTCCTGCCACTGAGGGTCCCCAGCTGGGCCCGTGAGACCAATTCGATTGTTCTCGAGGGTGGCCAGCGGAGGCAAGGGGGCGCGGCTTATTGCTACCATTATTACTATTCATACTGCTACTACTCATATAATTAGTAATCTATCTACAATGCTTACTATCTCTAATCTTGCACTATTATTATTACCATGATGAGGGTTTTTGGTTTTAGGAATGCAGGAGGAGTTTGGGTTTCAGAGCCTAGGGCTTAGGAATGCAGAGCCGAGGTGTCAGGGTTCAAAGTTGTTGGGTGTAGGGTTAGGGTTAAGGGTTTAGGGTTAAGGGTTCTTGGAGACCCGACATCAAGCAGGATTGCTGTAGTTTGTTCCTGTACGGATGGGCTCTTGTTGGGGGTACTTCTTTTGGTCTGCACCATGTAGGGTTGGGTATGTTTCCCCTTAAGCCCTAAGCACGAAACCCTAAACCCGAAAACCCTATATCATCCTTATATCCCCCTTTAAAGGTATCACAAGAACCCTAGACTTTGAACCCTGAACACATTCAGGCGAGGTTCGGAGGTAGTTCTATGCAGGGATATGCACAAAGGGCGCATTGTGGGTGGGGGCTTTAGGAGTGGTCCACGCTGCGCATATTTGCCAAAGCTCTGCGCCCATTTTTTTTGGTAGGATAAGCTTTAGGGCTTGGGGTTTAGGGTGTGTATCAGTGTGAGCGCGCGCCTAAAGCTAATATATGTCCCACCCCAACCACTCCAACTATTTTCAATTAGGGTTTAGGGTTCCTACCCCCCGAACCCCCTAGGAAGGGGGGCTTACTTACAGTTTTCTTGCAATCTCACGCAGTGCAGAGTTCAGAACGATGACTCTCCACAGTTCTGACTTTCTGTCTTCATCACGCAGCCGTAGCCCGTCAGGTAGTTGTGGTTTCCGCGTCATGTCAGCTGTTCGCTCTGCGCATTCGGTTCTGAGCAGCCTGCAAGTGAAACCGCTTCAGAGCTCGGTGCATGGGGGCGTGGGGATTCTCAGAATAGTAAGCAATTTGGGATAATGGAAAATAAAATGGAAACTACTATAATGGAGAATCAAATGGAAAAGAAAATGGAAAATGAAATGGACACGGAAGAAACAGTGACCTCCGGGGAGGTCATGAGGCCATGCGCATGGTCAGGGGCGCTCTCGCCAGTTTAGGGTTTCGGGTTTGGGGTGACGCAGCAGACCAAATTCCAGATGCAATGCATTTCTTATCATTGGGATCCTTGAGAGACTGGTTTTGGGACAACGCTTGGTCCTAAGCCCCGACTCTGATCCTCAGCCACCTGCTTCGCGTCTCGAGGCACGAGCACAAAACCCAAAACCGCAATGCCTGACCCAAATCTCCAAACCTCAACGGGATAGTCTTGTTGTCTCCTTTTGGGATTTTGTTTTTGTTTCGGGAGCACAATCCCAAAAACCCAAATGCTGAAACCTCTAGGACCAAGCAACAATCCCAACCCCCACACTCTACTGTCCATGCAATCAGTACTTGGAGGTTCAGGGTAAACACTCAATTCTAAGCCCTCCTGAGTCCCCTAGACCCTGTAAACAACAGACAAACTCTCCATAAGCCCTAATGTGATCCCTTACAGTTGGGTGACAGTTATCCTAGACCCTATATACCCTGTCTAAACCCTGTGCAATGCAGGATCAAGGCGGTGACGCAGCCGCCCATGACGGAGCGCCAACATCCCATTTTCGGGCGGTCCAATGCGGGGTGCTCGGGCAGGCTTCTGTGGATCCTATCGAGATTTTGTAGGGTTTAGGGTGTAGGGTTTCGAGTTCTATAGGAAGTATATACGGTAGGGAATGTAGAGGGACACTACGCCAATAATGGAGAGTCAAATGGAAAATGGAACATGCAATGTTAACTACTGTACACAAAGTCAGGCCCTGAAGTGTGTGCCTCATGGTTCTCGCAGACACTGCTCTGCTTTCTTACGAAGCCTTGGGGCCACCGACCTGCTTATGCCTGGCAGTGGTCCCCCTCATCAACCCGAAAAGGCCCTGAAGTGAGTTTTGGGATTATAGCACCAATAATGTAGCGCACTGGGTTTGTGTAGGATTGTATGGCGTTATATACAGGATTACATAAAGATCATACAAGGATGTTTCACAATAGCGGAGGATCAAATGGCAAAGAACATGGAGAACAGCCTCGAAACTATTATCGCTGGCTTGGTTCCCAACCAGGGCTCTTATTATCATGTTGACCATTACTGTCATTATAGCTCTTAACCAATAATATAGAATACTGGGGTTTTGTAGGGTTACATGGGGTTTTATAGAGACCATATCGGGATTGTATAGGGACATTTCCCAGCACGATAAGTATTCTCACTTCTTGTCTGTGTTATGCCTATTTTCACTAGTATCATTTATACAGCCTCTAAACTTACTGGGGCTTAGCAGGGAATGGGGGAATAGAGTCCCTATATCATCCCTATATTACATATTTCTATATTCCCTACACCCCCCCCGCCAGCAAGTAAATGAATATTAGTACTATTACTACTAGCAGCGTCCAGAAGATCGGAACATATCATGTGGGAGTTTCTCCAAACCCTAAACCCCAAACCCTAAAACCTAAACTCTAAACTACTTCCAAGGACCTCGGAATATATTGGGAGTATGAGGATAATGCGGGCCTTGATCTGGCATCATATGAGCTATAGTGTAAACTCCTTACAGCGGATGATGTGGTGATTTTATAGGGATCCTATTAGGGCTTCTTGAGGGGATGCTAGGAGTTTAGGGTTTAGGGTTTAGGGTGGGAATGAAGGAGTGGAAAAGAAAATGGAAGCTACTATACTGGCTTTTTTAGGTGTGAATATGAGGATCCATTCCTCCATTCGTAGCTAACCAAAAGGCCAGTCAACCCCAAACCATCCTGCGTGAGAAGCATTCGTTCATAGGCGGCCTTGGACCGTTGCTCATGTTCGCAGCTGCAGTGCTTCCCAGCCATTACAAATCCCAAAATTGCATGACAGCTGTCAAAGAGCCCTCAGGCACTTTCATGTCCAGGCCCTATGAGATCAGTATGCGTTGGAGAGCCGGAAACCCCCGGATACCCAAGACACAATAGCCTCCCTTAAGCTTAGACTGGAAACATCTTGAAGCTGCAGGCTGTTCAACTTACTTATAGCACACTGAATTTCCCAGAGCTGAAATTCTCATGGGCAGTCATGACCGCCCGGCTTTTTCGGTGCCGCCCTTGCGGGATTCGTCCTCCTCTCCAGGGTCTTGCTGTGTTGGCGTTGCTATCAGACTCTCTCGCTGCTACCACGTATCTGACACCAGGCAAAGACGTTGTCTGGGTAGATGAAGGTAGTGATGTTGGCTCTGCTTCCTTCAGCATCAGCACGAGCCCGGATGACGGCACACCTGGGGAATGCGCGGCATCATGCGATGCAACGCCTGGTTGCAATGGGTTCTCTAAGTGCCATAGTCCTACAATGTGTTGGATGAAGAACAAGCCCATTTGTGCAGAGGATGTTGCAACTGAACCCACTCGGTCCTTTTCTGGGTGCACTTCTTTCTACACCCCAAGCAGCACGGGGTGTTCTGGAACCACAACAACGTTGCCAATAACGAGCACGTCGGTGTCCACATCAAGAACATCATCTACAGTCTCAACAGCAACATCCACATCGCACACATCCAGCACATCGACGTCTTTATCATCAACATCTACATCGTCAACCTCTGCATCATCAACGTCTACTTCTGCAACATCTACATCGGCATCATCTACTTCGTCAACATCTGCATCATCAACATCTACATCGGCGACATTTACATCGTCAACATCCACGACGACCCGAACGAGGGTCAGCAACATCACGCGTACCCTTCTCGTGCTGGAAAGTCAAGCTGACGAGTTCCGGGAAATTCTGCTTGCACAAAATTCCACAGAGGCACAGTTCGTACTTCCGGATGGAGCCGTGGCACTGGCAGCGACCTGGCCTCCGGCGAATGCCGAGGCGGACGTGGTTCTGACAGTTGATACTGCCTCTGTGTCCATCTCCCAGGATCTTGGTGCAGTCAGTGCCGCAGTAACCTTCATGGATACTAGCACCGATCTCTACCAGTTGCTCAACAACTCGTTAGACGGCTCTGGTTCCGTACTTGCCTCTGCGCTCCTATCCATCATCCTACAAGATGAGGATGGTGACTCGGTTAAAGGAACCCTGCCCACACCGCTGACCTTCAACCTCACAACAGTGGGGAACGCCAGCATGGAGCCCGGTGTTGCGTGCAAGTTCTGGGACGAGGAGATGGAAGTCTGGTCTACGCACGGCGTCACGTTGCTCTCTGCCGCAGATGGCGTTGTCACTTGTTCAACCACGCACCTTTCTATCTTTGCCATTATCATTGACACCATCATCTCAACTCTGGCATGCTCGAACGCTGCCTCAATTTTTTCACTGGAAGGTTTGCAATCTCTTCAACGCGTGGAGTGGGCTCTGCGGCTACCGTCGGTGCTGAACTGGGTCATTCTGCTGATGGGCGCCTTCCTTCTTTGCCTCGCTGCATGCGCCGACAGGCGCACTCGACACCGCCTGAAAGTACTGAAGACAACGCTGGACTTCTGTACGAGGTTCGAGAAGGCAAAGGCAAGCCAGGAGCACCATGAAATGTTTGATCTCTATGCCTTTAGCTTTAGATCTCTCTGTTCCTGTGATGTGGCTCGGTCTGTTTGTTCTGCAGTGGTGCGCCGAAGAACAGGGGTAAGTCTTGATGTGCTGAACCAGCTGTATGCGGATACTGGGGCCACAGCCTCCCATGACCTAGCGAAGTCGGCCTTAGATACATTCTGGCAGATGAACTGCTGCTCCAAGCTCGTGCTTTTGTTTCGGATGAATCTGGACTTCTCAGATTTCAGTAAACCTTTTGATGCTTTAGGAGGCGTGGGGTAATCTCTTACTGAGAGACCTCTGGTTATCAATATGCTCAGTACGGCGTCTGCATAAATTGCAGGGAATGGTCATGTCTGGTGCAGTTGTTTTGCGTATTCAAGCACCAGTCTGTGCGACACCCTGCCCGCAACCGTAAAAGGAATTGTGCATACAGCAATGTCTTGGAACCACGCACGACTTCAACCTGCTTGCAGCGCACAGCGGTTCTCATTGCACGGCTCTACTCTGGATGGGCCGTCTCGGCGGTTTTCTACAGCTCGTCATCAATAGCTGCAGGCCAGCCAGAATCTTGGCCGGAAGCAGAGCTGAAACAGAGATAGAGCTCAAGAGTACTAGATCTCATCGGGCTCGTGTGTCAGCAAGTAGAACCCCTTCCAAGAGGACCCCTATGTGGAGAAGGGTGCGAAGAGCCTTGTATGGAAGAAACGGGGTTCACGAAGTTTGAGTTTGTCTTTTGGACAACTGAGGACTGCGAACCAAAAGTTGCGCTGCTGGAGACTGTGGTCCGCTCAGTAGTCATCGCCTTCATTACAGCTGCTGTTGGCGCGCTGCCTCTAGCATTGTTGATTGCGCTGGTAACAAGGGTGGTCCTGATTCCTATGCACATACGCCTCATGCTCTTCTGGATGCTCCTGACTGCATACTTCCTGCTGTGCCTCATGGTGGTGTGCATCTTCATTGCCAGCGTCAGCCTTTCAGACAGCCAGAAGTGGTTCGTATCGGCTCTTACCAACGTGTTGACGGGTGCCATATTTTCACCACTCCTGATCAGCTCAGTGATGTCCTGCTGGTTGCAGTTCCGGAAGCTGGAGCAGCTTATCACCAATGTCGCCAGCCAATGGCAAAGCGGAAAGTTGCAGGAGCTTGTTCACGTGGAGAGCATTTCGCTCTCAGAGGCGGCTTTGAAGACGGTTCTCAAGAGTGATCCTGTGGAAATGACCATCACGTGTCAAGTAGCAGGGCATGATGAGGTCACGGAACTCCAAGAGGATGAAGGCAGCTTCCGGTCCCCCATCCCCTATGAATTTGAGGCGCACCAGCTTTTCGTCTTCTCTGTTTATAGGGGCGCCCGGGACACTACGCAGCGGAATCTGATCGCCTCCGCCTTTTTTCATGTTGACCAACTGCAAGATGGATATTTTCAAGGGTCCCTCCCACTTTTCCTTGATGACAAACACCTCCACGTGGCCCTGGACGCAACTGTGACTGTTGTGAGTGCGACAAAGCCCAAGAAAGATGTCGTGCGAGTTTCGGAGATTCCGGAGAGCTATGAGGCTCCAACAGTCATCCCAGTGGCCCCAGAGCCTAGAGAATTGATGGACCTCGCGCAGCCTGCAGAAGTGGAGAACGTTAAATTGCATGGTGGAATGGAAGAGGAGGAGCCAGAAACAAACGTGCCGGAGGAGCTTTCCGCGCCGATAGCGGTGCCGTCGCTGGTGCCCTTGCAGCCAGAGGAGCCGTCAGAAACAAACGTGCCCAAGGAGCTTTCAGCACCTATCGCGATGCCATCCCTTGTTTCTGTCCCGCCAGAGGAGCCAGCAGAAACAAGTGTCTCAAAGGAGCTTTCTGGACCGATGGCATTGCCGGCCCCGCAAGAGGATTTGAGCAAAGAGGAGCCAACCCAGGCTTCTGGAGTCAAGGAGCCTGAGTTGAAGACGGCGCCGGAAGCTCCAGAGATGCAAACGCCGCCACCCATGCAGGAGCCTCCAGTAACTGGTTCACTGTTCTGTTTGTTCCCTCTACGCTTTCCTTGACATTCGGAAGAGGGTAGAGGCTGAAGCAGGGCTGAATCACCGGCATCCAAAGAGGGAAGCAGCAGCCTAGGGAAACTTCGGTCCCCATAGAGAGAGCAACACGATCGTTTGCATTTGGTTGTAGTGTTTTTGCAAGAAGACTATGTAATCTTTTTTGGTTCATCCACCAAGAACCACTACTCAGGTAAGCAGGCAGGAGACGGAGGACGCAGCTACCCAGAGCACCCAAGGCTCGCGAAGCACGTCGCCAAAGTCACCGGGTAAAGTGAGCATGCGCAGCCGACGTGAGGATGGGACCATGCTGGCATTGAACTTGTGCTTAGAGACTAGGGTAGGTTCTAGGGTGCAGTGATTCAGCGTTTGGATTTTAAGGATTTACCACTTTAGTGTTTTGGCTTTGTTTCAAGACATTCACAAACGCTGGTCTCATGAGAGGAGTTGATGAAGGCCGCGGCAGATCCATCTCTGGCTGACCTCATCAAGGCCTCCGAAAATCGCTTCAAGCCACAGACACCCAGCTTACAGAGCAGCAGCCGCTGTCGGAGGACATGAATCAATGAAGGAGCTATGCCTGAATTTTTTGCACGTTTTCTTTTCCTGAATTTGATGACGACATTGCTAAGCAGAGCCCCCAGACGTTACATTCTAAACCCTGAAATCTGCATCCCCAAATCCTAAATCCCGACCTAACGAGGTTGCTGACACCGATATGTGTTATAGCTAGGTTCTAGACCTTCAGAGAGTCCATGCATGGAATCCTTCATTTGGGGTTTTGCGCTGAGGATGAAGATGGCATCATTCTAGTAAGTGTTCAGGGACCACAAGGGTTTAGGGTTTAAGCAGTCAAATATCCCGCCACCGATAAAACCCATCCCCGAAAAAATTGAAGAAACGCAGCTCCGGCTGTGGTGGCGCTCTTATTTCTGCCTCCTGGAAGTCGACTCAAATCAAGAGGGTCAAGTCCACTTCATGTGGAAGGTCGTGCGAAAAAGGTTAACGCAGGCTTCTGTCGGTTTCTCTCCAGTTGCTGTTCTTCTTGCAGCTGCTACTGCTGCTGCTAGCGGAGAGAAGCAACTGTCAGTCGCCTCCAGGCTTGCCCTCATGTGGCTGTTCTCCCATGGCCACTGGAAAGAGCGAATGTAGCTTTCAACAACTGAGCGGCGCTCGGAGGAGCGTAAGCCGCGCAGGCAGGAAAATATACAACCTAACATGCCGCCTCAGCTAAACAGGCATCACAAAAACACAAAGAAGCAAGAACATTATTGTGGTTTGGGCATGGATGCATCTGTAACCGTATGCTGTCGAAACACGAACGTAATTATGGTTTGGGCATGGATGCACTGGTAATCGTGCGCTCTGGGAACACGAACGTTATTATGCTTTGGGTACGGATGCTTTGGGTACGGATGCGCTGGTTGTCGCATGCTCTCGAAAACGGACGTGATTACGGCGTGGGCCTGGGCCAAAGCTGATCTAAGAAACAGACTGACCGAAAAATGTACCAAAATGGGGCTCGGTTATCACGGCGCTGGCACAAATTTGAACAGTTGTCGGGCCACCTCACTAGCTGCAATGCGGTTTGGGGTTTGGATGTAAGCGTCTCAAAGTGTGGATATCGCATTCAAAGAGCGCATGGAGCTGCACCTGGAAACAACCTCTCGGCATGATTTCTGACACTAGCATTCTCATAACTCAGACAGTTTCAGCTCGGAATATGCAGAGCACAGAAGGAGGCGTGCTCATGTTGTATTTTGTGTTTTCTTCGTCTCGTTGTACCATTCATTTTCGCCCTTATGATCCGAGATCAATCCCAAAACTACGCCCTATCATTTATCCCAGTGGCACACAAGACCTTTTGCAACCCTGCGTAAGTTTTTCCCTTTCCTACGCCATAACGCTGCGCTTCGCGCCCAAAACCCTCAAAATCTTTAGCACGCCTGAAGCCCTAAACCCTAGAGTACCAACTACGGCAGCCATGCGCTCAGGTGCATGGTTTCTTGGCGGCGACGGTTGATTCGCAGAGGTTGCACGATGTAGGAACCCGAATGATGACCCTCGTAGTTCTTGTATACCCCTAGGTGCAGTGACTATCGGTAGTATTACAGTATAGACCAAAACAACCTTCTGATTTTGTAGGCCACTATTTTTGCATTTTTGCGATCCGCATCAGGGCTAGAGCAAAATATAAACCCGGGACGAATGAGGTTTGTCTTTAATTCGCTTTGAGGGGGCATTTTTCGCAGGCCTACATTATCTCGAGCAGGGCTTAGACCCTCGACCCCAAACTTGAAGTCGCAAGATTCCGTGTAACGCCGCAGGGTGGATCAAATCCCGTTGGCCAAGGTTACCTTTGGGCTTACTATTCTATGATATTCTATGGCAGAGCTTTGCAGAGCTAGTATGAGCAACCGTGATATACAGAACTCAAAGGCAACCAATTTCTTGCAAACGGCAGCTTCTGACCAACACAGAAGCTAGAAGCCAGAAGCTAGGTCTTGCCAGTTTGGGTCGCAGAGTAGCTTTTGAGGAGCTTGGCACTCCATGGCATGCAAAAGGCCCTCTGGAAGACCCAGTAAGACTGCCTCCAATCAGTCTTCGCATTGGCTCTGTAGCAGCTGTGGAAACACCGCCAGCTGACGATACTGATTTTCTCAGACTGTGGAGCATGCAAATGATATTGGCTGCTGTCAGCTCCCCGACTGGATGCGTGCGAAGTGAATGCACAACCCAAAATGGCCCTTACATAACTAGCAACCCCTCTTACATTTTCTATTATAAAGCCTACTTCATCAAAAGGAAAAACGAAGACCGGTACCGCAGCCTCACGGACTTCTGTTCTTATCAAGCTTGTTCAGCATGGAGGGATCCTGCGAAGCGCAGGCCGTTGCCAAAGGCAAGGCTGCAAGCAATGCATGGACTTCCCGAAGAGAGGAGGTTGCTTTTGAAAAAAAGGTGGAGCCATGCCTGACACACAACCCTTGGTTATGAGTAGGATTGTTTGAACCAAACACCTGGTACTGTTCATAGCGCAAACCCCCTGTTCCGATTTCTGAAGCCGTTATTCTCACAACTTTTTAGCACGGAGCATGCCCTCATTGTATTGTCTGTTCCTGCAAGTGCCTTGAGTGGCCAGTGGCCACGCGATAGCCCACCCGCAAACCCAGGCCTTATTCAAGCTGTGCCGGCATGTGCAGTTCCCGATGAAATGAGCACGCTGCTGCGCGGAGCGATCCCGGCATCCAAGACCTCTTGAAACTTTGCATGATTTGTTTAGGGCGCTGACCCTGAGCCCCAGAACCTAAACAGCGGCCATGCGCTCAGGTTGCATGTCTTCTTGGCGGCGACAGTTGATGCGTTGAGGTGGCACAACGTAGGAACCCGAATGATTACCACCATAGGTCTTGGATATGGCTTGGTGGAATGGTAGTATAACCCCGAAACCTTTTTCTGATCTTGTAGGCCACTCTATTGTCTGTACCCGCATCAGGGCTGGAGCAAAATGTAGACCCCTGACTACTGAGGGTTTCTTTGAGGCGCTAAGTCAAGCACATTAGTCGGATCTCTGCAAACATCCTTTAGTCTAAACTCCGAGTATATGATCCACCACAAAACGTGGATCATGGCGGGGGTAGGGGCCGGGCTGAGCAAACATATGAGCTACTTGTACAGTCTAAACTCCTTAAAGGGGATTATATAGGGGGGTAGATAGGAGACTTTTCATATAGGGGAGTGCAGAGGAGATAACAAACAGGCTTATTAAGGGGGATACAGGAGTTTAGATTATAGCTCATATGCAGATGTGACATTTTGACATTGGGGTTTCGGGAGTGTTGGATCTGTGGGCAAGGGACTGGCTGCTTCTCTAAGGGAATGCTGTGGGAATTGCCAGCGGTGGAGCATGTTGCGAAAGCAATGTGTGGGTTTCCCAAAATTCGAGGCACCATTTCGGGGGTCCCGATAATAAGGGCCATAGTATTTTGGGGTCTATATTGCGCTCCCCTTATTTTGGGAAACTTCCATGTCTTTCCAAGGGTTGAGCCTTCAATTTGTTCTTGGCGATGGTGATCTTTCTTTTCTAGGCTGTTGGCGTCAATCATCCTCAGTGGTGTTGAGGTGCAAGTTGTATGTTGGTTCTGTTGGTTTTGCTCATTGGACAGCAAGTCAAGCCTTGTCTAGGCCTCAGTACCCTGGGCTGCTTAGTAATGATAGTAATAGTAATAATCGTAATAGTAATAGGAATAATACTGATATAGTAGTAATAATAGTAGTAATAGTAAGAATAGTAATAGTAATAATAGAAGACCTAGTTTAGGTAGATCCCTACGGAATGTCTGCTCTGAGCTCGCTTGCTCCAGGAGCTCGCAACGTTTCGACGACAGGTGTTTACCCACTGTGCCTCAGTAGAAGGCTTGATGTGAGCTATAGTCTAAATTCCTTAAAGTGGTTTAGGGTCTAAACTTCCTAAAGGGGGGTTATATAGGGGATTGTCCAGGGGATTATTGTAGTAGTTATGACGGGGGATGCTAGGAGGACAATGGCTCATGTGTTGCTACAAGTCCTAGGCTGGGAGCCTGAGTGCCCCAAGTAGGGTTGTGATTATAGCTATCCCGACTGACCACCACGCATGAGCTTCCAAGTAGAGAGGTTGCGTTCTACGTGCCATGGATGTCCATGGGCGATTCAGATTAGTCGGCTGGATTCCGAGCCTCGATTGGTTCACAGTTGTGTCTTTAGCATAGGCCCCTGAAGCAAGATCCAGGAAGCAGAAATCCTGCTTGAAGGTTGTCCGACAAAAGGATTTTGTGCAGCTCCGGAACTCGGATTCTCAACCTTGTTGAGGCGGCGTTTCTCGCCCACACGCCAGCGGATACTGCAGTCCATTCACGTTTTTCCATCTTCCGCGCCAGGCTTTTCCTTTGCTCATTCAGGGCGTAGACTTCTCCTCCAGCGTCAAAAAGTCGTCTCGCACCATGGCACCTCGCGGCATTGCCTTTGCCCTGCCGGCTGCGGCTGGTCTCGCCGTTGCCTCAAGCTGAAAACACATGAACAAATTTTGAAGTTACGGCTCCAGACGTCTTATCAGGTGGCCGCACCCCTCTTCGTGCCTGGGGCACCTGGCGCCCAGGCGCCCCGCGCCGCGGGCGCGCCCCATGCTGGTGCGGAGGCGATCAGCGCCAGCAGCAGCAGCGGCCTCTCGGCCACCACGGTGGGCGCCGTAGCAAGCGCAGGCCAGGGAGCTCCATCAACCGCAAAAGCTAAGACAAGAACGAAAGTCCCTGAACTCAAAACCTTGGCTCCTTTCTCTCTGTAGTCAGAGCATTCACGTTGCTCTTTTGCGCTGGGACTTGGAGGTGTTTTGGTGGCGGCGTTGTCTCGCTCTTCTGCCGCACGGCTGAAATGAGTTGGACGCACGACTGTGTGGCCGGATCCCTGAAGATATCTTTAATCCTAACCTGGAGATCTAAACTTAGACTC